TTTAAGAGCATCTTCTGGGAGGAAATCCAGAAATTGATTCTGAGATGCTCCTCTTGGGATAAGAAAGAAATGACTACCAACTTCTGCTCAAGTGAGTCGACAGGAATCTTTATGTTCTGTGTTGACCTACTATGTGCCAGGTTTGGCTAGCCACTCTGCAAATATGATCTCATTTTGTTTTCGCTTCAACTCTGTGAAGTGGCTTTGGGGGGAAGGTAAGGGGGCTTGAGCATACTGCCCAAAGGTTCACTCTCCAAAGATGCTGGGGAGCTGGGGTCCCAACCCACCTCCCAAGGAGTAAAGACCTTGATTAATTAGCAAGGAAGAACTGTTTCAATCAGCTCTCCCCCTCTCCCCACTGTGTGTGTGTGTGTGTGTGTGTGTGTGTGTGTGTGTGTGTCTGTGTCTGTGTCTGTGTCTGTGTCTGTGTGTGTCTGTGTGTCTATACATTTCTGTGTGTATGTTTCAAGCCAAATCCCCTTTTACAAATGACCCAACTTTTCAACACAATAATATTTCAAGTTTGTTTTATTCGTTTTCCTCTCTAAATCAGAAAATAAAGGTTGACTGTCAGTAAGCATTCTCCTAAGCATATTGTGGGTTATAAGTGAGGCCAAGAACAATAATACTGGATTTTTCCTACACTTGGTGGACCATCTTCTCAAACAGGTACGGCAGCCCAGCATGCTGCCAGGGCATGAAAAATTGCCAGGTGAGGCTAGTCATTCTTTAAAGATAAAGCTTAACCCCCCAACAGCAGAGATACTAAGAAATACACCTGAGTTGCTGGGGGTTGCACTATCCATATGATCAATGAATTCCACAAGTCTAGTTCTCTAGCCTGTTCTTGACATCACCACTTAAACTAGATGCTTCATAGATGTTCTTAGCAGCTGACTCTCATTGGAGGGAAGTGTCTTCAGATGGACATGAATGCTCTAGCTAGGACACCACATCCAGGCACCACACACATGTGAGAATCCCTGCTCTCCTTGGAAAAGGAAAGGAAGGCCATGATGCCCCAAGGATAGTAAAATACATTTTAAAGGCCAAAGATAACCCTGTGAAGTTTCTTTCTTCAGTTCAAAGCTGCTTTCCCAGAGTAGGCTTTTTACAAGCCCTGGGAGTGCTCACTAGTTTATCTTGGGCCACTCACTGGTCAAGGAGCTCTGGCAACATTGGGTTCTTGACCTGTTTTTGTCAAGCCTGAAGGCACTGTGCAGGGTGCCAAGAACATGCATTCTCCACAGTGGGCAAATCACATCTCTTAACATAACAAGATTAACCAGAAGGGCAGGTGAGGTAACCTGTGCCTTTGTGCCAACCTGGCAGCCTAGGCTGTGGCTCCCATATTAGCGTTCCCTCTCTGGCAATGGTCCCGCTGCCATGTCAAACTGGCTGGAGCTGCTTGCCGCCTTCGGGATTTTTCAGCCCTAAATGCTGAAGTTCTCGGTAAGTCAGTTCAGAAGGAACACTGAAGTCAGACTGGAGAGAAAGGCTGTCAGCTCCTCAGTCCTTCTTTGGGGACCAACGAGCTAAAGTCCCATAGTATTTTAACTTTTGGAAGCCGCTAAAGACCAGAATGGCCAGGTAGACCAGAGTGTAGTTTTCTCTGACTGGCATTTCAGGATAATGGAAGGAACCAAGATAATTTTTCCACATGGTGAAAATCAAGGGTTCCTCATCCTAAGTCCAAAGATCTGTAATTTGTAGACATCTGTTGTATCTGCTATGGGATGGTCTGTATGTCAAATCTGTTGCACTGATTGGCCAGTGGCCAGGCAGGAGGAAGTATAGGTTGGACAAGGAGAAGAAGAATTCTGGGAAGTGGAAGGCTAAGAGAGACACTGCCAGCCGCCGCCATGACCAGCAGCATGTGAAGACACCGGTAAGCCACCAGACACGTGGCGAGGTATAGATTTATGGAAATGGATTAATTTAAGCTATAATAACAGTTAGCAAGAAGCCTGCCACGTCCATACAGTTTGTAAGCAATATAAGTCTCTGTGTTTACTTGGTTGGGTCTGAGTGGCTGTGGGACTGGCGGGTGACAGAGATTTGTCCTGACTGTGGGCCAGGCTGGAAAACTCAAGCTACAGACATCATCTTGCATTCATTTTGAACATCCCTCCCACCTTCTAGGCTCTTCTGGTCAACCTCCATTCCAGTTCTTTAGAGAGGAAGCCTTTGCTGACATTCAAGCTTCACCCCTCACTATGAACTTTCCTAGCAAACACAACTCATTGAGGGAGGATACTGACTAATTTTGTTTACACAGTGGAATAGCTCTCACTAGGAAGTATCCCAAAGATTCAGGCCGATGGTTCAAGATTCCAACATTTTAGTATTAAGGAATGTCAGCCCTTTAAAGGCATCTTCCATCAGAAAAGGCAATAACTAGGGTGAAGAAGCCACTGCTGGATAACATATACCTGCAGTGAATCACTGACATGCAATATTCTACAACTTCACTTGCTTCTCATCGTCCCTGACCTGGGCAGTAGAAAGGAGCACAGAAGGAGAAAATGAATTCCATAAATAAGGTGAAGTGCCTGGCACATGGACCCGAGCCAATTACAGCCTTACTGATTAGTGTAAAAAGAAACCATTTCGCCTTGGGAGACTCAAAACTCCATCCAGAGGAGGACCGACTAAGGCCACCGAACTTTGACTCTCTACATGTTGTTACAAGGGGAAAGCACTGGAGCTCTGTGTGGGTGTGCCTAAAGTGGCAGCTTTGATGTGTGGGAAAGATCCATGCTGCTACAGTAAGGAGCATTTGCCGCCTTGCTCTGCATATGCCAAGAGTCAAAGTCAAGGTCACTTCAAAGCCCTCAGCACGGACTCAGGAGAGAATGATGAACAAGCCATCCCCTCTGACAATGGAAACCCTTCATGAAGCCTGAAGGAATTTTCCAAGAGGAAACTTTCTCATTCTCTGCCCAGCTCTAGAGGAGATGGTGCCCTGCAAGAGCCCTCAAGTCTCCAATGTTGTGAAGAACTTCATAGAGCCACAGACCTGCCCTTAAGCAATATCCTTGTTTACATCTTTAGTTTTATGATGTCACTGGAACATTGCTGAAGACTGGCCATCTTATAAAGCCTCAGTCATAGCTCTTCCTATTTCTATGACCTTGAACACAGCCTCTTATTCAGTGAACAATTAACTGCCTAATCACTTGCTTAGCGCTCTCCGTGTTGGGACAGTTGGCATATAAGTATCTGGATGTTAGCAGCAAACCACGAGCATCTGAGTCCTGACCGTATTATTTCACTGGTAGTGAACAAGCTGGGCCTCAGTTTCCTCATTTGAAAATCAGGTACTATAATAGTAATGACCTCAAAGGGGGACTACATACAAATGAGCATCATCATCTTTGGGAAATTGGAAAGGTAGATGCCACAACCCATCTACCTTCTTAAGCAAACACTATATATCTAAAATGTCCTTTGCTGAAAACAAGTGGTCACAAAGACTTTGGAGCTAACATGAAATATTTAACTTACGGATCATCGTTGGTACCTTCGGCAAACAATTTAAAAGCATACAGAAGTGAGCACTGGGCTCAGAAATTCCAGACACATCAGGAGCTTCAGAAAGCAGCTCATCTGTCTGTTCCCATGTTCTTCCATTGTTCAGCCCCTTGGGCCACATCATAGTCCCCACCATGGCTCTCTCCATCCAGCTGAGTTTTAGGGTGTCTGAATTTAAAAGCAGACCCTCTTCCTCCGGTGTCCTTGCTACTCATTATCTGGGCCACAGTGGACAATGTATTCTCCATGTGTGCTGGTAAGGAGCACACGAGGGACGATTATGTGTGTGCTATTTTTAATCTGTGCATTTCTTCTCCATTTTTCTATTCACCATATCTCAGGAGTAGCTAAAAAGAATCATGTGGCATGAAAAGAAAATTTGCATGTCTTTAGGCTTTACGTTTACAGAGGTGGTTGGAGAGTCGGGAGTCGGTTGTCCTGACAAAGGTTGATAATGTTCAGCAAGGATATTTCCAGAAGCGCTGAACTGGCTAACCTCACCACTCTTTTCTTCCTTCAAGGCTTCCTTCATTGGGCCCGGCTAACAACAGAATAAAGAGATGCACGAAAAGACAGGCGTGTCTTTCAGAGGGAAAGGACGTAGGTCTAACGTTTAAAAAACAAAACAAAATAAAACAGACTTGACTTTGCACATCTCCACTTTGAGCTACAGCTGTGTGACCGGGAATAAGAGACACAGCCTCTCTAGACCAAAGTGCCACTAAGTGAAATGGTCTGTAGGACTGTCGCGAGTCCTCCAAACGAGACTAAATCACAAGTGTAACATGGGTAAATACTTGAAAGCGGAAGTACTTACCATTCGGAAACGTCAACTCAGTTCGCTCCCTGCAAGCGCTGCTGCAGACTTCTGAGCTCTGAACTGAGGCAAGAGCAAGTGGACAGTTGGGCTCCAACCACTGGATCACAGTGGGAAGCTCTGACCGTGAGCAAGTTCCACGCTAGGATGCTCCATACAGAGCTCCACGAAGGATGACTAGCAGCAGAGATCACAATGGCTGAGCAGGCAGTAGCAAATACAGATCGATAAAACTGAATAGTGAATAGAATTCTCATATATGTTAACGCTACCTCTTCAGGAAGAGAGGCAGGCAATGGTTTAACCACCCTGAGATAGATGTCTTTAAAAAAAAATTGACCTTTAAGGATTAGTGACTTGACTTTTTTATTTTCACTTGCCTTGTTCTCTGCGGTCAGTCTACAAGCTAGCTGAAACTAGTTTTCTAAGAGCCAATAAAATTTCCTATGTCAGCATGGAAAAATTAATTACTCATAATAACTGTTCAGGACATTGTGTATACACTAAATGGAATGACGCATTTTCTTAGTGCAATGTCAAAGTCCTGTTATTATAATAATGCAACATCTGGAACACTTGCTTCTATATTATCAGTACAGTTAACATCTGAATATCTTGACCTGGGTAAGAAATAAAGAGACAAAAAATCTAGAAGAAATGAATCAGTGTTATATTTAAATGTACAGGCATCCCAAGTGGTAGATGGAATATAAGGTCAATGTAGTTTTTCATTTTAAATATACAAACAAGCTCAAAACTATTTCCAATGAATATTGAGAACCTATATAAAAAAATCTATTTCCACATAGGTCTTGTTTAATCAGCCTTGTATGAGAAAAGTATAACATTAACTCTACACACAAAAGAGAAAATTAACTGTATGAGGAACCTTATCTACGAAGCATCTCCCTAGCACGTTAAGCTTAACAAAGAGCTGTCCCTGGTTAATTTGACACATCTGCGATCATCTGACTGTCAGTCTGGAGATTCAGCACGCTCAGTGTAAGCCACGTTCTCATCACAGCTCCAGACGTGCTGCTTGTGAGGCAGATGCAGGTGTTGACGAGCAGAGTAGAGATAGACACAGTGTGCTCCCTGCTCCTGATGAAGGGCAAATCACGGGCTGGGGCGGAAGGCTAGTCCCAACCAAACACAGCAAGCCAGGAGGGTTGTAGAAAGCAAACACAATCACACGTCTCCAAACTGTACCCAAACCCCTTAAAATACTCGGACATTTTACTCAATAACCTTTTAGTAACAGAAAATTATAATCAGAATGACTACATCTAAAAAGTCATACATGGAGAAACATTTAACAATTTTTTTTATAGTAAGGACAAATTGCAAACAATTTGAACTTCCACCTACAGGGAAATATTAAATAAGTCATGTTACATCTTGGAAAGGAATGGTATATAATATACAATGCTTCGTGGAAGTATTTATTAATGAGAAAATACATGATTTTATTAAGTAATGTGAGAGATATAAAAGCACGTGGTATACAATATAAATTTTGTAACAGCTGGCTATGGATATTATAGAAAGATCTGATTCTCTGCTGTATCCACCTGAAAGGACAGGTCCCAAGGCAGGTCATTGATCTGGATGAATGTTATAAAGATGCCAGTAATGTGCCTGTCATTCAGTGGTTTTCATTTCCCTTCTCTGTGACACCTGAAAAACCAAGATTGAAAAGATTAACTTTGCCAAGCACAGTGGCACAGTGGCCCACCTTTACATCTTAGCACTTGGGAAGCGGAGGCAGGTGGATTTCTGTGAGTTCAAGACCAGCCTGGTCTACATAATGAATTCAAGGACAGCTGGGAATACATAGTAAGAGCCCAGGTTTTTTGTTTGTTTGTTTGTTTGTTTGTTTGTTTTTAATGAAAAGAAAACAAGACAGACAGTTTTCATAGATATCAAATGAATTTATCACTGGCACCTTCTTGGCTCCCCGAGGACACAGATAAGTTAAAGTTGCTAAGATGTTTTCAAAAGGAGAGCCATAAATGAATAGTCCTAATGTACTGTTGACATCACCTCATCAAAATTAATTTTATATCATCAGAACAATGTTAACTATTGTGCAGTTAAAATGGAAAATAAACATGCTACTTAAATCTGGAACATTGGTAAGGAACACAAATAAAAAGGAGGGCAGGCTAAAGGAAATGTCCGGCGCTTTCCCTGCCCTTGCCAAAAAGATCTTTTACCTTTCTGTACAAAACTCAAGTTCCCACAGACCTCTGGAGCAATAAAAAAAAAAAGTGTACTGTGCATCATGTGCTGACTCGCTATAAATGTTGTGGACTCTGCAAGCGTGGAAGGCCACCTGTTCTTTGTGCAAAGGACAGACAGTGGAGCTGGGACCTGAAACTAAGAAGAGGAAGAATTAAATAAGGACGCTAACCCAGACAAGGGTTGAGTCAGCGGGGGCAGCCTCAGACAGCACACAGCCCTTGTCTTGCTTAAGCTCCAGGGTTCACTTGCTCAAAACCAGAGGCCACAGCCAAGTAGGTAGAGGCCAGAGAAAGAGCGTTCCGTGGGTCAAATGATTGACCTCGGCCTTCCAAGTCACCAAGCCTTCTGAGGAGAAAGACTGTCCAGACTGTTTCTATTTCTGCCCTACTGGCAGCCTCAGCAAAAAACCTTCGGACTTTTAAACCAGGACGGCCTGAGTGCTGATCAAGCACAGGCATTCGTTTGCTTACCAATTCGTGCGAGATCTTTACGCTTGCTGACCATATCACCCAATCCACAAAGTGGTGTTAATATCTACTTGGCAGACGTTTAGTGGAGTAAAAGAAATAGTTGTCGTAAAACGCCTGGCACACAATAGGTGTTTAATAACAGTCAGATCCCTTCTACTTACTCCCGTTTAGCTTCTTCTCTGGGTACTGCTCACCTCGGTGCTTTAAAACGCTAAGAAGGAAGAAAAGGGGGACAGAGGATTATTTTCAGGAGCTCAGATATCGTAAAAACCCTCCCAATAAAATGGCAGGTTACTAAGCTCTAGAGTTTTGCTGTTCATGTCTAGATGCCAGTTAATGGCTTTCTTCCCGCCCGTGTGTGCACCTTTTTACAGGAATTATGCTCTTAGCAGAGTTTAACGGCAAGTTTCTTTCTGTGTGTTTCATGTTGACTTTTGGGTTTGTTTTTATCTATTAGAAGAATTAAGGAAACAAGAATTTAAGAGATTAAAAAAACATAAGCATCTTTCGAGAGATAAGAAATGAGGCCTATCTTTAGAACTTTATCATAATTGCCTGAAGAGATGGCTCGATTTCATGCAGCTAATCTGTATGCAATAAGTAGGCCAGAGGAGACTGAAAAGAAGTATGTATTTGCAGTGGGATCTTGTAACAGAATATCTATACTGCAAACTTATTTATCTAACACATACTGGGGAAATTTTATGTGCTAAGACTGGGCTTTAACCATGTGCCAAGATCACATGAGGGTCATGGGTCTCCCTCAAGTCACTAATTGCACATGGTCCTTAGGCAAGAGTTACAAATGTCCATGGTTACATACTAGCTGCATTCTTGTTATTTCTCAGTAAGTGTCACCATTTGGGGCCCATCCGATACCTTACAACACATAGAAGTTTCCAGAATGTAATGTTTCTACAACGATCAGGAGCTTGATGATGGTTTAGTCACATTTGCAAACAGTGGGTGCCATGGACCATGAGACAGTCCAACAAATGAAAGCCTGGGGTCCTAGGAAAGCCACTTACAAGAGGAAAGTTTGCTCACCCTGTTTGAAAGACCTATGCTCTTAGTCACTACAGAAGGTGGTTCCGGTTGTCTGTCCCTAATCGAACCTTTACACAATGCACAGCTGCTTTGCTTCAACAGGAGGTGGCTAAGCAAAGGAAGAGATTTCTCTATAAAAACCTGCCTGCTTCACAAGACAGACTTCTTTACAATGGTCAGAAATAGAACTTGTCCACGTGATAGTCAGGTAATCACAATTATCGACTCTTTAACAAACAGGGACTGTAGGGGACTTACTTTGCCAATTCACTTAGAATGAGAGTCTTTGCTTGCTATTGCTCAGGTTGGAGGGACATGTATTACCTTCTCTTTTCAAAAATCTTATTCAAGTGGCATGTTGTAAAATTGTAAAATAGTTTTTAGTACTTACAACTGCTACGATTTGATAAGACGAAAAACAGGATAAATAATGTTTATAGTCTCAGAAATGTATTATTTCTCTGTCTCTGTCTCTCTGTCTCTCTGTCTCTCTGTCTCTCTGTCTGTCTCTCTCTCTCTCTCTCTCTCTCTCTCTAAGAAAGGAGACTTATAGGCATCAGTTCTCTGTCCACTGTGGGTTCCAGAGCTTGAACTCAGGTCACCCTACTTGTAGGCTTCTACCTGCTGAGCTGTTTTGCTTTGTCCCCAAAAAATATTTCAGATAGAAAAGTAAGAAGTGAAAAGGATATACCACTCATGATCAAGTGTTTAATCTCTGTCAGTTCCCAGAGGTAGACTTCTGGGAGTTAATTAGGCCCTGGAGTCAAACATTGTCCAAGTCACCTGACATCCTTTGGAAAAGGAAAACTACAGCCCAAGTTAGAACCTAACTTTCTCCTGACCAGAGAGATGCAAGGTAAGAAATTTAAGAGGAAATTTTCATTAATTCAACTGGTATTTATACAGTTGCCAGCTACATGCCAGGGACACTCTGAGCCACTCAGCTCTCCAGGCTTATGGAGCCCACATTATGACAGAGGTAAACAAAAGAGCAGCCTCGAGTTGTCTTGGTGCCATAAATGGGGGTTAGAAATTGTGCATGACAGAGTATGCATCTTTGGAACTGCCACAAAATAGTCGAGTCTTTTAAGTTACCTAATCAAATTATGAATTCTGTTACCAGGTAAAAAATTACACATTTTCAGTAGACCAAGCATTATCTGAAAGCCAACAGGACCCAGAAAAGACGTACTCTAGCCTTAGTAATGGAATACAAGGGAATTCCTTAATATATTAATTTTAAATTGTGGAAAACAATTCCCTAGAGTTTTGAAGGAATGTGCCCAGATAGTAAGTGATCTTAATTTAGATGTGACCAATCTCCAGATATAAAAGTATGAGAGGATATCCAAGCAATCAGGCAATATGTAAGTAAATGGGAAGTTGAAAATTACTGGGGGAACTGGAATATCCACTGATACAGGGGTTATTGGGTCAGTTATGATATACTTATATGCCCAGTGGAAAGAATGAGCAGGCTCACACTGACTCAGAAAGGTATCTTGATATATAGTTGAGTGAATATAAAGGAAAAAAACCAACAAGGCTACAGAGTATTGTCTGCAGGAGTTAATGCTATTTTTGTCTTTGAAAAATAAAGGATAATATTCTCTCTCTCTCTCTCTCTCTCTCTCTCTCTCTCTCTCTCTCTCTCTCTC